CGACAGATTGACTAAGGTTGCGCATTTCTTACCCGTTTCGATGAAGATGTCTCTGGCCAAGTTGGCTGAGATATATACCCGTGGGATCATTCGACTCCAGGGAGTGCCCGTTACGATCATATCAGACAAAGATCCCAGATTCGTTAGTCGATTCTGGCACATTTTACATGAGGCGATGGGCACGAAGCTAGAGTTCAGTTCAGCCTACCATCCCGGAGACAGACGGTCAGTCAGAGCGGACTATTCAGACGCTTGAGGATATGCTTCACGCTTTGGTTGTTGACAGGGGTGCTAAGTGGGAGTCGTTGTTGCCGTACGCTGAGTTCGCGTATAACAACAGCCATCATTCTTCTATTCAGATGGCTCCTTACGAGGCACTTTACGGTCGAAAGTGTCGTTCCCCTCTTTATTGGGACGACGTTGGAGAGCGACGAGTACTCGGTCCCAAGTTGATCGAGGAGACAGCAGATCAGGTCAAGTTGATCCGGCAGAGACTCAAGACAGCTCAGAGTCGACAGAAATCCTCAGCCGATCATCATCGACGAGAAATTCAGTTCGAGGTTGGCGAGTCAGCTTTTCTCAGAGTTCGTCCGATTCGCGGAGTCGTCCGATTCGGAAAGAGAGGGAAGCTGCACCCTCGATTCATTGGCCCGTTCGAGGTTCTCGAGCGAGTAGGCGAGGTCGCGTATCGATTAGCCCTACCTCCTGAGTTATCAGGCATTCATAATGTGTTCCACGCATCTATGTTGCGTAAATACGTGTGCAACCCCGATCATATCATTCCTCATTCAGATATTCAGGTTCAGCCAGATCTTTCGTACGAGGAGCGACCGGTAGCTGTACTAGACTGTCAGGTCCATCGGCTCCGGAAGAGAGATGTTCCCCTCGTGCGTATTCAGTGGGATCGCCACGGAGCTACTTGGGAGGCGGAGTCCGATATTCGCGCTCGTTTTCCAGATTTTCAGTTTTGATGTACATATTTTTATGTTACATGTACATAGTTCATGTATATTCAGTTATGTTTTGAATTTCCGAGGACGGAAATGTTTAAGGAGGGAGGATTGTAATATCCCGTTAGTTTATTAATATAAATCATGTTTTAGTTCCGATATATTAATATCGTCGAATATTAATTTTTGGAATTAATTATTTCAGTCAGTTCAGTCGAAATTACCGAAAATTATTTTTGACGTTCCGTTTATGTTCGGAATAATTTTGGTAATTAAGCATTATGTTTAATTAAATAATTAAACATGATTAAGTGATTAATTAACAATTAATCACAAGATTAAGTTCAAAGCCGTGGGGATTTTGTCCAAATTCATTTAAATGTCGTACTTAATTCCTTAAGCCTAAGGAAATATTTTACCTTCTCTTTAAGCATGTACACGTGTCAAGATGAGAGAGTTAAGGGTGTGATTAGTCATCTTAAGTTGTGTTATCATGAGACAAGTGTCATTAGATGGCTAAGACACATGAACCTCTCATCATCCAACTTCCATACGGTGCAATATATAAGGGAGTGGGGTGGAATTTTTCCCACTTCTTTAGCCATATATCTCCCTCATAAATTCAGCATAAGTGAGAGTAGAGAGGTTAAGCATTTTCTAAGTGAGCACCGCAAGCTCTACTTACATATCCACCCGCACCGCAAGCACCGTACGCACGGAGGCTCCAGTTGTTTCGAGCAATTGAGCAATCAGTCGAGGGTGAAGAAGGTAACATCAGTTTTACCTGGTTCTGTTATGATTCAAGTCATGTTAAGATTAGGTTGAGTAAGACATGTTCATGATATAGCTCATTTTGTTCTCGGTCG